CATTGCTAGCGTGCACACACGTGTATGCATCGTGTGTATCATTGCTAGCGTGCACACACATGCATGCATTGTGTATATCATTGATAGCGTGCAAACACGTGCATACAATGTGTGTATCATTTATAGCGTGCACACACGTGCATGCATTGTGTGTATCATTGCTAGCGTGCAAACACGTGCATGCATTGTATGTATCATTGATAGCGTGCAAACACGTGTATGCATTGATAGCGTGAACACACGTGTATGCATTGTATGTATCATTGATAGCGTGCAAACACGTGCATGCATTGTGTGTATCATTGATAGCGTGCAAACACGTGCATGCATTGTGTGTATCATTGATAGCGTGAACACACGTGCATGCATTGTGTGTATCATTTATAGCGTACAAACACGTGCATGCATTGTGTGTATCATTGATAGCGTGCACACACGTGCATGCATTGTGTGTATAATTGCTAGCGTGCAAACACGTGCATGCATTGTATGTATCATTGATAGCGTGCAAACACGTGCATGCATTGTGTGTATCATTGATAGCGTGCAAACACGTGCATGCATTGCATCCGTAAAATTTGGACAATGATGTTAACAAATAAAAATCAATATTTCAACAATGATAAACTCTGCATTGTAGGCGCTGAATTCAAAAATCTTCATGAACGTTTTTGCCTAATCTATGAGTTGCTTTGCATAATTGTCGATCACTGGATTAGTGTTATCTACTGTCATTTGAAACGTCTCATTTTTAGGATTTCTGGATAGTTTTAAGAAACACATAATGTCACTAATTATTTAGATGGAATGGATGTACTTTTCATTAGTCATTGAATCATTGGAAATAACGTCATTTAAACGGGTTTAATGACCTATATACTGACTACCTATGTAATTATAACATTGCCCTTAAAACGTAATAATGTGGCGCTATTCTGTGAAATTAATCTCAAATAAAATATCGCCACATCGCGTGACCTCGCCTTATCTGTGACATCGCTGCAAAATGGTCCCTTTATCGTCACCCATATCGGATGCCTCACCATCACTGGAGATAACAAATTGCCATCAATCAACATCATCACCAAGGCAACGACCATGTTAATGTCAGCTACTCGCATGAAACTTATCTGTGGAAACATCTCGGTTGTTTTAGTCGACGAGTATGACAAATTGAGGGCGCACGACAATGTCTCGTTTACAAGGATTCGAGTTGGAATATCAAAAATGTTATTTCCTCCATCCGAACTTGATATTTATTTATTTATTTATTTATTTATTTATTTATTTATTTATTTATTTATTTATTTATTTATTTATTTATTTATTTATTTATTTATTTATTTATTTATTTATTTATTTATTTAATATCCCTAGACATTATTCATGTAGCGGCATTGAAATTATACAATTATGATATGCAATTCAATACATTCCATATCAGACGAGAGCCTAGTACTAGACATATAAATGCCTAACACTTGCAACACGATAGCACCCATTCAAACCTGTTCAGATTAATACTGTTGGAGAATGCGTTGTAGTACGCTTTTTCAACAAGTACAGTGTGACCTGAACAGCACTACCACCATCTTTGTGCTGCACAGCTGTGGATAAGATCGTTTCCCAGTTACCCACGCAAGGTTTTCCGCAAATTTAAGCGCTGATGGCACTTTACATCAACAATCATTGGTAACTGTGACAACGGTCGCTAAAAATCCAATTCGTCTACACAGTGATAAATAAATACTGGTGAAGCGAAAAGCTGTGTCTTGCTTGCAGACGACATTTTCAAGGCATAGAGGTTTCCCGCCATTTTTGGTCGTTAGAAGTATTTTGCGATAGTTGTTAGACCCCCTAAACGATAAATCAAATTTACATATTTATTATTAACCATCACTAATTGAACATTTCTATGCAGTAGATGCAATGAATGGAACTGAATTCATTGAAATTATTAAAGCAACGATTAATAATAGACCAACCTCGCTAATATGTGTCTATACGATGGTCGAGAAAAAAATCTTGAAAGAGCAGTGTTGAAAGGACATGATACGACAGTGTAAAAGTGATTACATTCTGCTTCGCGACAATCTCACAAACTGGTTAAATTAAATTCGGCAAAGATAATTTGACGCCAGCGGACCATGATATACATCATATAAACTGACTCTAAAATCAAATTTAAATTATATAGTTGTTTATGTGAAGTATGTGTGTGTGTTTTTTTGCACGCACACAATCTATATAGTCGTCTGAACCTTTCAGGTTAATTTCAATGATATTACGCCGTTATTTTGTCGTGATATCTCAGTGAACAAATACCTATAATATTGTTAGAGTGATCATGGCACCAACCGGAGCAAGTTAATTTAGAAAAGCTAAATCGAGCGGGAAAATGAAGACAATATAGTGACGCAACTAACCCGGAAATCAATGAGACAGATTTAGTCATCGTTGCCATAGGACTCACTTTGTGGCGGTTTCACTATTTTAATAACGACTACAACCTTCCCTACTATACCCTTTCCGCTATGGCTAAATAATTCAATATCTAATGTATTTTTAATTTCTAAAATAAAACTCGATTCATGTTTAAATCGGAGGATAGTTGTCTGCCTTAGTATATTTCACGAGTTTCATGTTGTAGGAACGAATGGCTAAAACGCAGAGGTGCTGTTATTCATTGTACTTTCTGCCGCTAACTACTAGTATATTGTGCGCATTCAGCGTCATTGATGACAATTATAATTCTCCAAATAAGTCCTACATCCCAACACGTGCCTTTCCTGTTGTATTGTATGTGGTATTATACCTGTGAAACAATACTTTTCAGATTAAATGGAATCAAATTGAACAAAACAAACTCGCTCAACATTGTGATTCATGACATTGCTCTTCTCCGACCTTCGGAAAGCGATCATAAGTGCAAATCCAACGGAATACTACAGACGTCATTTTGGGGTACACACCCGCTACAACTTGAATTTCACAAGTATATGTACCGGTATATATCCTACTTACTGGGGAGAAGATTTGAAACGATGGCCGACGAGGAAGCTGCGTAATTGAGAGGAATACCAGTCGGCACTATGATATTGACGATAAATGCCGTGGATACAGCAAAACCAATATTCCCACAAACAAAAGCTGATTACTATAAAAATCGATCTGCGTTATAATCAAAAAACGCATGTTCAATCGGCGCTCGTGATCGTGCTCGATCTAGACAAGTCTACAGCGTACGATGAGTTCACTGTCACCGTAAACAAAATATGCTGAAAATGTTAGCGCCACTGTCGTTGCGCCACGTCATGAATGGTATGGGTCCCAAGCGACGAGTAAAGCGCGTGTAAAATCTCAGACTAGTCTCAGGTAAAATACAGTGTTTGTTTACCAAAATTTCGAACGCGCGCGACGGCTTCGGCAATTCAAAAGGCTATTTATGTGTACTTATCATGAAAACCGAAACGGACATAAACAAATTATCAAAATAAGCAAATTATCGTTTTGTTTTCAGAAGGCAGATCATACCTCCGTTTTGCTACTTCTAACATTTTGTGTAACAGCCAGATATGAAATTGTTCGTTTCAGAAATTTGAAAAAAAAGAAGGAGAATGTATTTAGTTTAAGAGATAATTGAATGATCGCCATAGTTACCGCGTGAAAGTTAACCGAACAAGGCTGGATCAATGAAAGAAATCATTATAGGAAATCAGGGGGAACGATCGTTTGCATTCACACGCATGCGCATGGTACAAGACTGTTAAATTATGTGAACAATATTCATCCAAGCACTACAGCGGAGGGGGGGGGGGGTGCTGCGAATAAATAGCTTGCACATCGAAAAGGCTTCAAATCAATATAAATTCATGAGTAAGAATAGGTTGCAATATCGCTAAGGCAGTTGTACACGGAAATGCGACCCAGTCGTGGCTTGGAAACGAGTATGTTTTAGTTGTCGGGAAGCAGGATATCGCGAGATCTGTAATCGCGACAACGATCACTGACGACCAGTTATTACTCGGCAAAAGAATTGAATACGTATAGATAGTCTAGGATGCCGAAAAAGATGTTGCTCATCGTTTTGTGTGATATCATCAATACAATGCTCTTTGAAAGCATTCCGTATGCTTTCATATTCCTGGCTTAACAATGCGATCGCGGTATCTTTATTTCGAACGTATAGCGACTATACAAACTACGGCTAATCCCCGGCCAATAGTGGCGCAGTCAGCTGCCCAGTGCCGAAATAAGGTATTTAAAGGTCTGTATTTGCATATGAATAGCACCTGTCGTCCAATCAGTTGTCTGTTATCGCAGACCACATGGTGCTGGGAAACCCCTAACTCGTTGGATAAACGCATTCTGTGGCAAGTAGCAATCGTGTATTAATTTGACACACGTCAACTGAGTAGCGGTCGTTGCGAATATATATTTATATTTTCCATTACTTCTGTTCAGGCAAGACGAAGCGCTCGATTCGGTTACAATTACCGGCATATCTGATATGATCACATCGGGATGGAGTTATTAATTTGGAGGGAAAGATCGAAAGGCTTCGACCTTCCCGGCTGGAGGCAACATCATTCCGTTTAGTTCAACGTTTGGATATACGAGTCGGTCAGTGTGACGCTTGTGTTTGCTGTGACCGGGACTATCCATGGTCTAAGCGGATGGGTGTTTACTGGAGCTATACGAGCGCCAACATAATATTTGAATCGACGGGTAAATTTTGTTACTAATTACAGGGGGAAATACGCTGTACAACAATACAAGGATCGACAAGTGCTTTAACCAAGGTGCGCGCGAGTATTTGTGTGTGTGTTTATGTTTAGAGGGTATGTTTACCATACTGTTCAGTGCACTGATGCTATCATGTTTTGACTGTTCATCGCAAAATGCACCAGCCAAGGCTGGGCTTATTTTAGCAGTTCGATATTATTTGTTGGAGATCGCATCTTCTCATCCAAACGTGTCTCCCTGGGCGAATCAAAGACATGTCAGAATCAAGGACTCTTCTATCGGCTCTATTGGTGTGCGTCGTCTTCGCCAAATTGCTTATATGCAGCGCCGTGTTGAATTCTCCCGGAGGACAACTGCCCAATCAACCCACGTCCAATCAACAGCGACGGACGGTGCTTCTGGGTGCTTTGTTTGGTGAATATAACCGCGACTACGTCCAAGCGTTGAATGATTCCGTGCGAGAGATTAACAGGGATGCCCTACAGTACCCAAACATCTCCCTGTCGGAGGTTATCGCCTATAGCGGTGATAACCCAGAAAATGCCACACTTGAACTTTGTGAGGAGGTGGTTAGCCGCGGTGTTTCTGCCATTCTTACGGTATCTGACCAGATTACAACTTTCACGTTGTCTTTAGTTGGGGCATTTGTTGGGATACCCGTACTCGGTTTTGGTAGTGGATATGCGGTTCTGTCGGACAAGGTGAGTAATTTACCAATCAAAATCATGTTGTTTGTTTATTTAAACCCCCTATCCGTTGAAAACCAGTAGCTCTGTGACAAAAATAAATGTGTACCTTCTAAATAATAATCATTAAGTGGACGTGGCGAGAGAAAACGGCGTCGACGGTATCATTTTGTCAGTTTTACCTATGCTACACGATTAGTACATACATCACATACGTGCGTGACACCCGTACCCTCTGGCACTTTCTGATACACACAAGCGTTGACTCGGAATGAATAATGAATATTTAATACGAGCGAACCGTGTTTGCTTATTATACATTCGGCATTCATTACGTATGTAAGTGTTCGTCGGCATGCCCGTTACATTTGCTTTAGAAAGCACTGTATTTGCACTGAGAAAAGTTGTCTTAATGTTGTCGTACATGAAAAAAGTAGAGCGTTTCCTTAATACTGAAAAACCAAAAACGTGGTTATAAAGGTACATCTGCACCGTAACTATAGTGACACCGTATTGTTAATTTTTGCGTAGGAAGAATACATGTAGTACAATAAACATAATGATAATGTAATTTTGTCTGAACGTATCACTTTGAATATAGTAATTTTAATATATTTAATTAACGATCTCCAAACAACTCCTTCGGGGTATCCAAATTGTTGAAATCAAATTTGGTCTGATCATCACAACTTTCACTGTCAAGGTCGGTTCTGAATGAAATGTATTGGCATGGTAAAAGCAAACTGAACACTTGATGCTGATCATGTACTACCCATAGCTTACTTGTAACAAATTATCATTTACCTTGTTTTGGAAACGTGATTGGATGATACTGAAATTGCAGCAGCGACAGTTTCCCGGTGTTGCTCGAATGACCACGTGCGTGACGATCGTCTCGAAAGAACGTCCCGACTTCCCGTGCGCAGAATAACTGTGCCGGCAGATGAATTAGCAGAGGTAATGAGTGAAAATGTTCGCGGGCGATTATTTTTAATCACGTGATTGATCGACCAATATGAAAGCAATTTCATAGATATCTCATGTTACCATGCGCTGCTTTTCGCAAATTTTATTTTACAAATTTCTATTAAAAAGTGCTGGCTGTTTCATATTAAAGACGACGCGAGCCATATCATAGAAAGTAATTGCAGCACAATTCACCATTGTTAGTGTATGGATAGAAAAATATAATTATCGGGTTCCCCTATGACGAGCACAAGTAGCTGATGTTATTTTATGAAATATCTTCCGTTCTAAGTGTTTTATGTCTGTGTTGCACAGAAGCGAGAACCGCAAATGATTCGTGTTAACGGAGAGAGAACACACACGCAAACGTTCAACAAAAGATCTATTGCCCACAATTTTGAATTATTCCGTTAACCTCACCAATTCACCTTCTTTGCTCGAGTTTTATTTACCCCGTCACTGCCTTGTACACGTTTTCATTAAAACCTTACAAAAGCGACACTGTAGTGTGCAATAACGTGATTTTCAATAGTGTGATTAATATTGATCTTTTCACATCGTGGCCATTGTTGTGCGAACATTAAACGTATAAAACCCAAACAAACCAACACTTAACGCATATAATCATCTGGCGAACTGACGCACGTAAAAGGCACATTGACAGTCTCAGTGTTATTATTTTTCACGTTGAAAAGTAATCTCTTCATAACGATGGACACATTTCTGTTTGACACACACTCTAAATACATCTCAAATGCTGGAAAAAACGTAAATTAGTATGGCCATGAAAATACATAATTTGTACATTTAATATATCAACTGGAAAAGAATGTTAGCAAAGCACATTTGCGATTGTTAGCTGCTAGACATTCACTGACTTATATTGTTATAAACAATTTGTGAGCTGGGAAGGGCATCATGTAAAATGAAGATTAAATATGCTTATTAACGCAGTAAGCACATTCAGTATTATTGGTAGTCCAATGTCAAATTATTGAGCGTGGCTTATATGTTTCCAATTTATTTGCAAATTCACTCCAAATGAGAGGAGAGCTAAATCGCTGCCGAAGTGACGTCAGCTAGTGATAATGAGAGGCTGTATCGCGATCTGTTTCTATTACAACCCTCGCTACTCACTCGAGGTGAATAGTGCATTGTACACCCAGCATGGTGTTGATTGTGTGGTATGTCGATCTTTTTCAAATAAACCCCCCATACAGACCAGATGATTGGAGTATAAATGTTCGGCACTTCTCCGCTTTATATATATGCCTCTAAATATATCCACTGTGATGATTGTACTGTCGGCGGACACGTTTCACGGCGTGAGCATTCATACTGCATTCATTGCCACTGTGTTTCGAATTGTTAGACATGCGTTTTGTTGATTCTGTATACAATCTAGTATGTTTAAGATGCTATCTAAACCCTAATCTAGCCAACGCTCATTCCACTGTACCAGTGAATTCACCATTGTTCCAGCTTATCTCAACGTTCATCACATAATGGATCTTTGATATTCTAACAATCTTCGAGAACAAAAAGTATACATTCTCTTCGAAATCTGCGAATAATCGCAATCTTCATAATCGTAACATATGTTATATGTGATATGAACTTTAATGCATAATATTATACACAGTAAACTTTATACAAATTCCATGACCATTATTTCTTGATATATAGTGTCGTTATCGGTGACCTTTAACAATACCCGATTCTTCGTCGCTCCGTATTTGTAGTCACGTTATCGGTGCATACAATTTGTAAATTGTAATAATTTACACATAGAGAATACTTTCCGTCGGGTAAGGCAATACATACTTTCCTGGCATATTTAAAATTTTCCATCATCAATTACTCATTCACTACTTTAGACCTATTGCTCGTTCCGCCCTACTTAGGCCCACCATTACGCCATGTGTATGTTTATGCAATTAGCTACAGATGCAAACTAAAATAGTATAATATACCGTTCTATGTATAAAATAAACATTATAAAGACCTCACCTGCTGGAAATATTATGATACAGTGTATAATGTAGTGTATAATGTAGTATTGATAGATGTGAACCCTTTATAAAACAGTTTGTGAATTCTGTTTCGGTAATACTCAGAGCTTAGAAAACAAGCGCATTGACCCGGCAAGCGTTTCCATAATTGTGCATAAAATTAGGTTGTGTATGTTCTGTTATATTGGTTTTTGTCGAGCTGTTGCTTAATCCATCTGCCACCAGTAGCTATATAACCCATGACTATTGAATGTCTTTTGAAAATTCCACAAATGCTTCTCACTTAAGGGAATTGATTATTCACTTGTGGTGTATACGAATAACTAACTAAATACTAGTAACATACACATTTTTTAAAAATTGTTCTGGTCGCATAAATTATTTTGGATGCAGTTGTATTTTTTTATTTATGCACACTATAATTTTATTCAAAATACGTGTCCAGTATCATCATCAGAGTGTTTGTGTTCTATTTAGTATTTCTAAGGTATATAAACAGAACAATGCATCTTGTAACAATGCCGAACAAACATATTACTAGGTGAATTAGTGTATGTGGCTAATTAGCATATTTTATATTTGTTCATATTGTTCCGTGTTATCCTGTGTATGCCGTGCCAGGTGACTACTAACGTGATTACAGTTGCCTCGGGTCTTACTGTTGATTGCGTATTTCACCATTGCTATAAATATAGATACATCCGACTTATTTTTCACTGAAATGAATAAATATTTAAATATTATATATAGACAGAAACTATTTTGAATAACTAAGTGACAGTATAATGTTACAAGAGTATTTTGATTATGTGACCTACAAACACAAAAGCCACCCATTAACTCACTCCGAACGATTGTGACGCTAAAACGAATGGATATATTTACATTATTCAGAGATTTTGCAACGTCCGCGTCATCACTGACCTGTCACAAATTAGCCAAACCAGTCAAATTATTCGAAATAAACGAGATTTTGTGGTGTAATTTAAGGACACCATTTACCAGTATTCAGTTGTTTTAACATTCCATCGAGGACTGTATGACAATTCTGCATTTGTGTTTAATACGCATAATACATTGCAGAGTTGAAGAATGGGAATTGTAGTTAATTGCTAACATGTAAATAGAAAAAAAGGCAACATCAGCTTAGTTTAATCTTCCATTATATCTATCATCGTAAGCATAGTATTCCAGAATCACTCCATTACTCTGGTCACATGACACTGATCAAGTCATCATTTGCGTTTCCAATTAAATAGACACACACTATCTAGCCACACGCACAAGTAGGAAAATGATAAATTCAATGCATTATAATTATTTACTCCATGGAATGCCATTTTTAGTTGTTGTTTTCCAATTCTTACGAAACAATGAGAAATCGCAAAGTGCGTGTCGATGTAAATAGTTTTCGATAAACAGTTAACGCTGTGGATAATTTGGAGTAGTAGCAATTTACTATAAAAGTATATTACATTGTGAAAAATAATATTTAGATGCAGTTCGTATGTAATTGAACTTGAACACACCTGATACTGTTCGTCCAATCAGAATGCATCATTGTATGACTTTTATGTACACTACATTTTCTGTTTCCTAGACTGATGGGAGTCAAATCGTGTTGTTCTCATATATTTCCTTAGATCACTTACCAAGTTTTTCTTACATGAAAGCTGGGTTCTAGCTCACACAACAGCAACATACATGCTTACCATTGCGATATCTGGAATAAGATGTTAGTCATTGGCTTTTTGGCTGTACGATATTCAGAACAACATGAATATTTAAAAGTTGATGAAGATCTTGCTATAGGGTACATCTGCTGCAATTTTGTTTGCAGAAGAAATGTCCCCATCCGTGCAACCAATATGCTTAGTTTTAAGTGTTCGAATCCGACCCATGGCCGCATAGGTTATTATTTCAGGAAAAGTCTAAATCAAAAACTTACAAGCTGCTTCCTAAGTATTTACTGGCTCATTTGTGTAAATGGTTGATTTTCCAAGAATCGTGTGAAGTGTAACGTAGTAAAACGTTTAC